TGTGTTAATTGGTTTCCCTTTTCTTTGTTGAAGAGGGTCTGTGCAATCCTTCTGCCTAGTCCGCCATCTTGCCCCGCCTCTGGATGTACTTTTGGAAACACAGCTTTCCCCAGAGCTCATCTCCCCAAAGTTTCTGCTTCTGTAGTCTCTGTTAGGCTCTGCAATCTGATGTTTAACAGGCTGCTGAGGTAATCCTGATGTAAATAAGCCAGGGACCATACTGTGAGTCACACTGGTATAGCCTTTTGTGCCTTTGACTTTGTCTTCCTCTCTCCAGGAAGTGAGGGTCTTGGGCCATAAATTCCGAAATCCAGTAGGAGTTGCTGCAGGATTTGACAAGCATGGGGAAGCAGTGGATGGACTTTACAAGATGGGCTTTGGCTTTGTTGAGATAGGAAGTGTTACCCCAAAACCTCAGGAAGGAAACCCCAGGCCCAGGGTCTTCCGCCTCCCCGAGGACCACGCCATCATTAACAGGTAGGTGAGCAGTAACACCTTCACAGTGGGGCTCTCAGAGATGTAAGTTTTGCCTCTGCCTTCTCACCCACCATACAATGTGCATGTTTTTCTGAAATGTTCAGAAATCTTCAGCATCTACTGTGGGTCAGGCATTTGTTGCCATACCAACCCTGGAAAGCAGCCTTTATTATTTCAGTTTGACATGTATATCCATTGAGGCTCGGAGCTAAATAACTGTGCTGTCATCACAGAAGTAATAGATGGGAGAGTGTGGTGTGGACCCAGGCTTCTTGGACTGGAGAGGATGCGTCTCTTCTACATCATTACTCCGACATCCTGGCCCAGTGCCGCACTGGCCCAGTGCTGTCCACTAAGAAACATAGTGGGAATCCCATGGGGAGTTGTAAATTTTCTAGTAGCCACATTATAAAATAACATTGGAAATTAATAATAAAGCTTAGAGCTTCTTATTCAACTTTATACTAGATATCATTTTAATATGTCATCAGTATAAAAATGATGAATGAGCATTGAAATCCAGTGTGAATTTTACTTACAGACTGAGCACAATGCAAGTGGTCAGCCCCATGTGGCTGGCAGCTTTCACATGAGACAGCACAACCCTAGCTTCCACTTTTATTATGTTACTTTTTTTTTTTCCCCAATTATGTTACTTTTTGGTAACATAATTGAGAAGAGCCTCTTTGGGGAGAACCTGATAGGCATCTTTGGAGCCATTAGTGACCTTTTGGGAAACTGACCTGGGGAAGGTCATTTGGCCTTGCTTGCTTTATTGTGCTTGCTCTAGGGAAGTCTTCAGGCATTAGGGATTAGGTTATTGATCCATTCGCTGCTTTGCAGACTGAGATCAATAACTTTAGCATTGGCCAGGCAAAATACATCTGTTTATGTTTTGGCTGCCACACATCAGTGCAGGTACTGGGCCAGCGAGGAGAAGTGGCATGAGATGGGAGAGCCTGTGCTTTGAGCACTTGCTGGGTTCAGCTCCTTGCTCTGCCTGGTACGTGGCATATAGTGGGTACTCAGTAAATGCTTGTTGAATATATGGATGCATGAACTGGGGTGGACAGTCATTCATTTATTCATTAAGTCAAAAAATCCATGTGCCACTGTTATCTTTTAGGCTGTTTTTGGCGGCAAGTATCAAAGACCTAACTAGAAGTGGCTTCACAATAGGTGTTTTATTATTTTTTTTCTCATGGCAGGTAAAAAGTAGGTGGTTCCTGGGTTGGTTGGACAGCATGGCAGTGTTCAGGCTCTGGGTCAATTTCTCTGGGTCTTTGTTCTTACTTGCAAGATGACTACCATTATGTTTGCAAGAAGTGTGAGAGAGATGAGGTCCCTGCCTTGTAGAGCTCTTGGGACGGGGTGATAGAGAAAGAAGACATGTCCTTGCCTTCAGGAAGTTTCTAGCCTGGTGGGCAAACTTGAGCATGCATGTGAATGCAGAGCCAGGAAAAAGTCAGGTCCAAAGCCTGGTATGATGCCAAGGGGGCGAGGGAGCACTGTGACTAGATGTTTCTTGGGGGAAGGAGAGGCAGCAGGGAGCATCTGACTTGGGTCAGAAAGTGTGGATGATTTTAATAGGCAGAAATGATGGGGAAATGGAGTTGGAGGGATAGGTTCCAGGAGGGGCATGGCAAGGAGGTAAGAAAGCATGGGCTTACCAGAGAGAGCAATCATTCAGCTCAGCTCAGCTGGGTGTGAGAAGTGGGAAGGGTAAGGGAGGAGGGAGGCTGGATTCTCATGGCTGGAGTCTCACAGCTTGGGTCAGCTGCCTCTGTAGAGTCAGAGCTGCTTCCAGTGCTGGTTGGCTTGTTTGCAGATTTTAATCTTTCTCTTTATGTTTGATGTCTGGTCAGTTCTGTATGCGTCCCAGGAGTATTTGGGCCTTGGAATTCTAACTGGGTCTGATTTCCTTTCTTTTTAAATTTAAGTTGTAAGTATATGGCCATGGAACTATCTTCCTGAATCTTCCCCTTCTGACCTTGTCCCCTTACAGATATGGATTTAACAGCCAAGGGTTCTCAGTGGTGGAGCACAGGTTACGGGCCAGGCAGCAAAAGCAGACCAAGCTCTCAAAAGGTAAAATGGAGTTGCCTTAGAGGGGTTGTCTTCATTTATTGGGAGGAAATATTTCCTCATTTATTGGGATAAGCATTATCAACATTAATAGTGAATATACATGGTTGAACATTATAAAAAATAAGCAAACAAAACAAAAAAAAACACTAAGGAATGCAGTGGCCCACTCCTTGAGGAATTTTCCTGGTTCTAACACACCTTCCAAGATTTTAACTGAATTTCCCAATTAAATTGTTATGGAATGAATGTGTCCTCTAAAAATGTGTGTTTTAGATTCTAACCTCTATACTTATGCTTATAATCTCATTTGGGAATGAGTTTTCTTTGTTATGTTAATAATAGAGTATTAGAGTAGAGAATGTCTACAGTCAGTCTCTTTTGAGATATAAAAGATTAAACAAGATAGTGGGGGTTCAGAAATGGGAGAAGAAAGATGCCAAGGGACATAAGATCACACAGGAGCAGAAGCTCAGAGACAAGGCCCTTCCTCCAGAGCCAACAGAGATAGAAAGCCTTCTCCTAGAGCCAAAGCCCTGAATTCAGACTTCTAGCCTCCTGAACAGTGAGAAAATAAATTTGTTTGTTAAAGCCACCCACTTGTAGTATTTCTGTTATAGCAGCACAAGATAACTACAACATTAATGAAGACTTGTTTTGTTTTTGCCTTGTTTTGAATGTATGTTATAATTGGGAAAGCTTGGAAGCAAGAAAAACACAGTGTGGATTGCCTCTCATCACAGAAGTAGTTAAGATTGGAGCAGGACTTGAGTGTCATTTTTTACTTCCTGCAAGAAAATTAAAATTAATTTTGATTTAATGAGGACTAAATTACCCATAGTAATTACTCATTTACTGAAGACTAAATTACTCAGTCCTCCCACTCAGGGTTAACTTGTATTGACATTTGGGAAGATACCTTCTAGAGTTGTTTCTGAGACCACTTGTGGTTTTGAAGGCTGCCTTCTGCAGTGCTGATGTTCATTCTCTATGGCTCTCCACTTTGCACTGGTGCTTGTAAGGCCATGTGGCCCTGACATGACTTCCCAGGAGTCCTCTGGAAACGTGTGGGGCAGCGGCCCAGTAGGTATGATTTTCCTCTTTGACCCCTTCTCAGCCCCACGCTGGTGCTACCATTCATTTTCATAAAGTGAAATCCTACAGCAGTTGTTTTTTTTTTTTTTTTTTTTTAAATTTATAGTAGTCCACTATGAAA